GGACACAGCGACCCTGGACGCACGCGGGGGCCTGCCGGAACCACGGGCCCGGGGCTTCCCACGGGGGCTCTAGGCACTCTTGCATCCCAGCTCTGGCTGCCAAGGGCCGCCCTTCGCCGCCCCACCGCGCGCGCTTCGTCTTCGCGGCGCCCACTGTCATCAGTTGCAGCGCTGAGAGCAGGTGCGTGAAAGGTGGACACTGGCAGCAGCTCCTTCCCGCCCAGCATGGCGGCAGGTGGCGTTGGGGCCCAGCGTGATCTGTGGCTGCAGTGAGATCTGAGTGTGTGTCCCGCGGGTACTCCTGGGGTCCTTGCATCCCGGCGCTGTCCTCCCCGGGGTGTCTGCCGTTCGGGCTCGGGTCCGCTTTCTGGGGCTCAGGTGCTCTTGCATCCCGGTGCTGTCGGTTCAGCGAAGGCGGAGGCGCCATCCAATCAATAGAGATCCACGTGCTCCGGCGCGCTGCTGGGATGCGGGAAGCTAGGTTGGAGCCCGCGTCGTCAGTTGCAGCGCTGGGATCAGGGGACACACCTACCATCAGATGGAGATGAGCGGCGATTAGCTGCGACCCCCGCGTCAGTGAAAGGGGCCGCAACCGGTCGCGCCAACCATCAAATAGAGATCATAGCGGCGATTAGCTGCGACCCCCGAGGTGATTAAAGAGAGAAGGAGATTAAAGAGATTTCATAGCGGCGATTAGCTGCGACCCCCGAGAATGATTCAAGATATGACCGTGGCCCCTAGCCCTCGGATTCGGGGCCAGGCCGAGGGGTGAGGCGGTGCTTCCCCTCGCCTCTCCCCTCTCGGGCCTGGCGGGTGCCCCCCGCCCTCGGCCTCGGGGCCTGCCAGATGTGAAAGCAGACGTCGGGGTGGTTGCCCCCCCTCCCAGTGCCGCCCGTTCCGCGCTACTCGTGGTCTGGCTCCTCACTCTCAGCGAAGTTGGCTTCGGCCCTGGAGGACCTCGCGGCGGACTGGGCCAGACTTGCCTCCTGTCCCCCGTGTCCTCCACAGCGCAGCTCCCCCGGGCGCTTCGCCCTATGACACCGCAGAAGGCAGCGCTACCACCAGTGCCGCCCCCCCCCCCACCCCCCCCCCCCTGCTGGCTGTGCGCCCCACGCCCCTGCCCCCCCCCCCCCCCCCCCCTCTGAGGCCTGGCGCCGTGCCGGCACGCGCTGCGTGGTCCACAGTCGCTTGTTCCCCCATGCACTGTGGGGTGGTCTCTCGGGTGTTGGGTCGCCACGGAGTGGTTCAGCCTTCCGCAGCAGTGCACCCAGGCTCATCCACCAGCTTCCGGCCAGTGCGCTGCACCAAGTTCCGCGACAGCTGCTCCCTGGCTTGCAGACGTCGTCGTGGGCGTTTGGAGTCTGGCGCCCCACAGGCGACTCACTCCACCGGCCTCCCACTTGCCTCCACTCAGATTGACGGTCCTTGGTCATCCTGGTTATGTCTCTTGACGGGCTTGGTTACCCGGTTCACGTCTCAGACTGTGGCTGGCACCGTATTCAAGACATTTTGTCTGCGTGCACGAGCTCTCAGGGTCAGGTCACCTGCAGCGTCAGCTTCTCTTCAGCTTCGTGGCTGCTTTGTGAGCGGGCCGGGCCGGCCTGTGCCTGTTGCAATTAGTGCCTGAGTGCGTTTGCCCTGAGAATTTAGTTCATTATGTTCTGTGCACGTGCAACTGCGAGCCTGTCTTGCAGGTGCGAGCTTTGTCCGCCGACTCTGGCTGGCGGCGACTTGTCTTGCAAATTTGCCCCTTGCCGTGACCCGGACGCCGCTTCCGCTCCCTGTCCGTTGCCTCGGAGCCGCTGACACAACAACAAGTATCCCCACCAACCCATCCAGAAACGATGTCCAGGCGAGTTGAGGTGATCAGGGAAGTGCGGGAGCAAAGAGGTGGACGGCCGAACCGTGCGAAGGAGGGAGGAGGAGAAGGAGAAAGTTGGATGGATGGATGAGGGAGTGGAGAGAAAGAATATTAATATGATGAGGAAAAGGAATAGCAGGAGGAGGAGGAGGCGGAGGCGGAGGAGGAGGAGGAGGAGGAGGAAGAAGAAGAGACGGAGGAGGAAGGAGGAGCAGGAGGAGGAGGCAAAAAAAGGGGCAGAGGTCTCTTGGATGCCTCTTGGAGCCTCTCGGGATACCTCTTGGGCGCTTCTTGGAGGCCTCTTGGGACGTCTTGGGGGTCTCTCGGCGGTCCTGGGGGGTTCTTGGGCGTCTTGGGTGTCTCGGGAGGGCCGCTGGGGGCCGCTTGGGGTCCTCTTGGGGCCATCTTGGAGGAGATCGAGCAAAGAAGGGGGGAACTTCAATTAGCCTCCCCCCTCGGGAGCCCCCCAAATCACCTCTTGGGCCCCTCTTGGAGCGCTCTTTGGGCCGTCTTGGGGCTCTCTGGGGCCTCTCTTGGGGCCCTCATGGGCCCTCTTGGAGCTGCCTGGATGTCTCGGAAGGCCATCGGAAGCGTAAAGGCGAGAAGGCAAACTTCCTCAATTATCCTTGAATTGAAGGATTTTGGCTTCTTGGCGGCCTCCTGGGGATGCTCCGTGGCCGCTCGGAGCCGTCTTGAAGCGGTCCTAGGCGTGTTGGAGCATCTTGGGAGCCATCTTGGCGCATTTTGGGATATCTTGGGGGCAATCTTGGAGGTTATATTTTGGGCTCTCTGAGGACCTCTTGGAGCCATCTTGGGCCATCTTGGACGCTCCAACGACCCGCGACCGCACCCGTCCAGGTCCAGGGGAAGGGTTAAGGGGGAGGGGTGAACCCCTCCTCGTAGGGGAAGAGGGAGGGGTGGAAGAGGAAACGCTTTCAAACACCTACGCCCAGAGGGCTGGTGGGATTTTCACGCCAAGGACATCCGTTTGCGGGTTACGACCATTCTCATGGTGTGTTGCATTTCTTTGCTGGGTAAGCAGGGTTGCAGCGCCTTGAGATTGTAGGCCTTATGGAGGATTTTTTAGCATGGGAGTCGAAGCAGGAGCTGCTTAGGGACACTGGGAACACCAGGATACCCTCTGTGCGGGACCTGGCAGACCGAATGCATCTTGGACGAACTTTACCGTTCAAGGTGTAAGAGCAATCGGCTGCTTAGGCGAACTCCAAAAGCTCCTTTGGAAAGAAGGACCAGCACTGGTGGACGCCGGCAACATAATGCCTCAGCGGCATGGTATCGCGTGCGTCCCCCACTTTTCAGGAGGGGAAAAACACAGACACAATTAATCGTCGATTCCCCAGAAAATATGGGAAACTATGGAAAGTGTAGGGAAAGCAGAAACCTAGAAAATAAGGGACAATATAGGGACTCCTCTTATTTGTGTGTGTATTTATCTGTGTGTCGCAGGGCACCTTCAACTTTCTCGGCGCACCGCCCATGAGGGGTCCCTGCGCTGCTCGCAGCTGCTTCGGGTTGGGTCCTCGGCAAAGCTGCGGGGGATCTGGCTTTGCTTGAGCTGTCTTGGAGGGCTCTGGGGGGTCCTGGGGGTACAGTCGACCCGCATGGTAAGGATCGGCATCCCTCCCAAGGGTACCCTTGCATCCTTGCCTCCTGGGTCCATCCTTGGACACCTTCGTTGGCCGCGCCCCGCTCGAGACGCTCCGAAATGGGCGTCCAAGGCCCTTGCATCCTTCATCGCGCATCCTTACTGTCCGGGTTGACTGTAGGCCGCCCTCCCGTGGTTGGTCTGGGGGTGCCGACAGTCGCCCGTCCGGGAGGGCCGTGGTCCCCCCGCATCGCGGCAGCACGGCACACGCTGCGACATGCGGTGCGTCGCCGATGGCACACCGCACCGATGGCGGACGGTCCGGCACGCACAGAGGCAGCACGAGGCACGGCACAGAGCAGGCGCGCCCCTGCGGCTCGGAGCCTGCCCCCGTGCGGCCGAGCGGTGCGAGCGGTGCCCTGCACGGGGAGAGCAATTTCACGCCCGCAGGCGGTGTGTCACGGGGTACCCCCTCGGGCGCATCGCTTGCTGCGCGGCCGTCTGGGCATAGGGGGCCACAAGCGAACCCTACCCCCACCCCCCACGATTTCTGAGGGGGAGGGTGGGGTCCACTTCGCTCGTGACCTCCCGAAAGAAGTGAACCCCACGCTCCCCCTCAGAAATCGTGGGGGGTAGGGGTACGGTGGGTTCGTGTCGTGTCGACCCGCAGCGACCCCACCGCCGGCGTTCAACGTTGAACGCCGCGGGCGACCCAGAATCGTTCGATGTGGAACGATTTGACGTTTCGGAATCGGCGGATCGTTCAATGCTGAGGGATCCCCGCGGTGACAGAAACCAGCGCCGAAGTCGGCACGACACGAACCTGACGTAGGGTTCGCACGCGGCCCCCCACAATTTCACGCCCGCGTGCGGTGTGCCGCGGGGTGCCCCCTCGGGCGCACCGCTTGCTGCGCGGCCGCCTGGGCAGGCTCCCTCTCCCCGGCCGGCGGGCGGAGCCCCGGCGCCGGGGCCTTTCGGGCCAGTCGAAAGGGGGGGCCTGGGAAAGGGGGGGTTATCGGCATCCCCCCAACATGCTTATACTATGTGTTCGTCGCCCCCCCAGGGGCGACGCGCGCACCGAGAAATCTTGTAGTGTATGCGTCGTGGCGGGCGCTTTCTGGCCACACCGCTCGGAAAACGATATACTACAAGATGGGGCTTCGGTACGCTCGAAGATTTTGGGCTTCGGCGGGTGTGCCACATGATAGACTAGAACCGGAAGGTCTCACAGGGGTGATGGCGGAGGTGTAGGATGGGGGGTTGGCCGAAGGTTGCTTGCCTCGATCCCTTCGGACCTCCTCCAGTTTCGGGCCGGGCGAATTGGGGGATAGGGAAAGGGGGGGGTTACGAAATTTGCTGCATGCAGCTGGTTTCGGCCCCACCGAGGGGCCCATTCCTCGATACATGGCCGCCTCTGGCGCCGGGAGGCGCCGGGAAAATCAGCTGCGTGAGCTGATTCTCAACCCCCCCTTTGCTATCCCCCCCTTTCGCCCGACCCGAGCCCTGGGCCCCTCCCCGGGCGCCCCCCGGGAGGCCCAGCTGGTCTGCCGGCACCTGCACAGGCTGCACGAGAAGCCGCCCGCAAGCGCGAGGGGGGGGGGGGGGGCGCACGGCGGGGCCGGAGAGGCGCAAGTTCCCCACGAGGTGGACAGGTCCTAGGGGGCCACATTCAGGGGACGCGAAGATCGGGACAAAGTCGGATCGGGATAACTCGAAATCTCTGAGAATCGGCGGGTTTGGAGGATGTATTGGGCGCCGCGGCTGCTCCAGAGCGTTCCGGAACGCTCTGAGAGCGCTCCGGAACGCTCTGGAGCGATTTATCCCGATCCTAGCCCTGTTTTACACATGCGAACCCTGCTCCAGATCTCGTAAGAAAAGGGAGGGGGTCCGGACCCTCCAAGACAAGCCATTTCAGACCGCCCCCCCCCCCCCGTGGGAGAACCCTCCAAGACATCGTCCCCAGACCCCCCCAGGCCCTCCAAGATTCCCTTTATTACGAAATCTGGAGTACCCCCCACGATTTCTGAGGGGGAGGGTGGGGTCCACTTCGCTCGGGAGCTCCCGAGCGAAGTGAACCCCACCCTCCCCCTCAGAAATCGTGGGGGGTGGGGGTAGGGTTCGCATGTGGCCCCCTAAGGTCCCGAGGTCGGGGGCAGGGACAGTCACCGAGCGCGTTGCACTGCTCGCAGAGTGCCTGCTCGCAAACGTGCGAAAAACAAGCGTCTGCTTTGATGTGGTTTATCGTAGATCCCCCGCGGCGGATCCAGGCCATTTGCGAGGAGTTACTTTGCGAGGAGTGGAACGCGCTTGTCTAGATTGGGGGGGGACAGGCTTAGGGTCGACCCCCAATCGCCCATTGATCGCCGATAGGGGCGCGATGGCCCCAGCCTGCACAGGAAGGTGCGGATTCACTGTCGGGGGCCCCTCGCCGATCCATCGGCGATGCATCGCCGATTCCAGGTCGATGCATCCCCCCTTGTGCCAGTCCCCCCCTATCGTTGCCCCTCGTGAGGGGAAGCCGGCCCCGAGGTTCTTCGCGGTGCTCGGCCTTTCGGGGCCCTCGGAAGGGCCCTGGGGAGTGTCAAGCAGTGACTCTGGGTGAGCAGCTGACTCTGGGGAAGGGCCAAGGGACATACAGGAGATGTTCTCTCATCGGGACACGCCTGTCTCATGCCAGCAAGTTGGGCAGGAGTTTCTGGACACTCGCGGAGCACGGTTGGTTTACGACAGCCCAGGTTGGTGCAGCGCCCAGGGCCTGCTCTTGCGCGCCTGTGATCAGGCGCAAAAGCCCCAAGGAGTGATAACCAAGTTTGATTCTGAGCTGAAGCGGTTGGTGCTCAGGCAGGGAATTGGAGAGGATACGGGAGGATGGTGGCCTTTTTTGGCCTTAGCTTCTTGGCCGTCACCTCGTCATCCCATTCTGTTTGTTGTTGCCATCTGCACCAGCAGTGGGAGGTTTCGTGGAAGGTCTGCGTTTCGCAGGGCTGTTGCGCAACCATCTGGTCGGACCCTGCGTCGACGACTCTCAGGACATTTCGGGCACGGTTGGATGTGACAGACAGGCAGAAGCCGTGCACATCAGAGGTGCGTTGGCAGAAACGGTGAAACGGAGACTATTGGGTGAAACGGCGAGCGTGCGAAGCATGGCAGATAGGGGGAGGAGGAGGAGGGGGAGGAGGAGGAGGAGGGGAGGAGGAGGAGGAGGAGGAGAAGAGGAGGGGGGGAGGAGGAGGAGGAGGAGGAGGAGGAGAGGAGGAGGAGGAGAGGAGGAGGAGGAGAGGAGGGGGAGGGAGGAGGGAGGGAGGAGGGGAGGAGGAGGAGGAGGAGGGAGGAGGAGGGGGGAGGAGGGGAGGAGAGAGGATGAGGAGGAGGAGGGGAGAGGAGGGGGGGAGGGGAGGAGAGGAGGAGGAGAGGGAGGAAGGAGGGGGGGGAGGGAGGAGGGGGAGGAGGAGGAGGGAGGAGGGGGAGGAGGAGGAGGAGGGGAAACAAAGGCGTCAAGATGCCCATATGCCCTCGTTGAGGCCGGGGTGCTGCAGGCCGCTCCTGCCCTGTCCTTTCCCCCGGAGTACGCCTTTGCTCCTGCGCGGCCCCACGCACCCCCTGGTTCGGATGCAGCTCCTGGGAGCTCAAATTCTGTGTTTGCCCTGCAGGGCTTCATCCGGCTTGATCCCGCTTGATCCCGCTCGATCCCGCTCAACTCCGCTCAATCCGGCTTGATCAGGAGAGGAAAAAACACACAGACACAATGAATCTTCGATTTCCCAGAAGATACGGGAAAATATGGGAAGTGGGCGGGAAGACAAACAACCCAAACATATGTAAAAATATGGGGAATTATTTTATTTGTGTGTATTTATTTGTGTGTCCCAGGGCCCCTTCACTTGATCCTGCTTGGTCCGAGGCCCGCTCCGGCTTAGCAGCTCCCAAATGGGGCTTAATCCTTTATAATCTTTCCGACAGGAACCTCCCAGTAGTTGCCTCCTAACCCTGGCGCGGCCATGAGAGGCGATCGACGACCTTGACGCGACAGCCTGGGGCTCTTTCGAAGGTGCAGCGTGTCCGAGACGCGCTGCATGCAACATAGAGACGAGCCAACCTAGCCGTTGATTCCAGCGCCACTCAGATTCGTCGCGATTTGGACGGCAATGCATCGTCGACGGGTGGATTCGCTTTTGGATGCGAAGGCTTTTTCTCCGAGGCTGGATTGCATCGGATCCCATCGAGCCAGAGTCTGCTCGTATGTGCAGAGAGTCAGCAGGAGGGGATGATGGAGAAGGAGGGGAAAGAGGAGGATGAGGAGGAGGATGAGGAGGAGAAGGATGAGGAGCAGAAGGAGAAGGAGAAGGAGTAGAAGGAACACGGAGTGGAAGGAGGGAAAGGAGGACTAAGATGAGGAGGAGGAGGAGGACCCAATTCTGATCGCAAGAGCAGAGAAGAAGGAGGGCGCGAGGGTCACGGTTGAACAGCGACTTCGCCTCGCCCGCGAAACTGCAGGCGCTTGTCCCTTCTTCGCTTGATGGATTGTTGGGATGGCGCAAGACGACGGCCTGATATTTGTACCCGCATCAAGGCACACGTGGGGGGACCTGGGTGGGTACTGATTCGTGCCCGGGGGTAGCGCTTCAGTCGGGGGACACCGTTTGGCATCTTTCTGTGTCGGTTCCTCTCCAGATGTGAGGGCGCATGCTGCCCAGGCAGCGCACGCTACCGCTGTGCAGGAGTTATCGAGTCGTTCTCTGCATGGCGGCCCTTCTTGGACGCCACCAGTGCTCACTAGCACTTCAAGCCAAGCGAGGCTTGCTCTTGGACGAGCGATAGGGAGCCCCCCGGTGCTGGAGTCAGAGTTGCATTCAAATTCTCCCCTACCCCCCTTTCCAAAGATGGAGGCGCAGCAGACTGAGGAGGAGTAGAAGGACTGATGAAGAGAAGGGGCCCGAAGATCTCCGGGAGCCCAGTCACTGACGATTGCAAGGAGACGTGTCGTCGTCGTCGTCGGAGGGGGTAGGAGTATGACGAGGATTCAGATTTCGGTTAAGGCTCATCTTCATCCTGTGTGAAAAAAACGAGGGGGGAACCAGCTTTGCGATCAGAGACCTAGCTTCTGCACTCCTAGACCTACAATGAGTACCTGGTCCAGCATCTGCCCCCAGCACTCGACTCAAATATCCTATAGTGCATTCGACATCGTGGTTGACATATTGAGGACCTACGCGTCACACCCATCTATCCAACATTGAGGGCAACAAGCAGAAAACCCAGTGAAGGAGCCAAACAAAACACAGTGAACCGCATGAGGGCGCTCCCCAGAAGCTCAAAGCCCGGCCCAGCTCAACGCCAGGCCATCGTCGAGTGGGCGCCAGATCATCCGTCGGCTTCTAAGCTCTTTGGGTGCACAGCGCGCGGGAGGAAAGGCCCCCCCCCCCCTGCCACCTCCCCAGGCAATGGGCGTTCGGTTTGCTCCAGTTCGCAACTGGGGCAGATCGTTCCGTGGTGCCTTCGTCGCCGACGACAATGACCTGGACTTAGAGGAAAGTGACCTGGGCCGCTTTACAGTGGACAGCGAGTCGCAGGACCTATTTTGCTCATGTGTGTACCTCGCTCATTTGGTGATGTTCCTTTCCTGGCCGCAACGCCACGAGAATGACGAATGTCTCGCATCTTCTGCTTACCAAGTCGCGAAGCATGCTACCTGGGTTCTGAACTGGCTTGCTCCACCGTCCCATACGCCTCTACCCCCCACTCGCTTCCTTCCCTAGCCGCTTGCCCCGACACTCAGGCGAATCAAACATATGATCTGCAGACTTGGTGCCTTCACAGTTTTCAGATTTGCCTTCAGGTGGGAAGGGCTCTTGCCTGCAAGCACGCGCTTTGCATGTGTTGTCTCGCTACGTGGTCACCTGTCTCAATGCCTGAGTGGCCGTCCGTTGCCATCACCAAGCAGCGATTCAAGTGGCATTGTTGTTGATGGTAGGCTGCTACCTGGTGTTTTGTGTGATGCCGCTTTTTCTTCGAGCCTTTTGCCGATAGAGTCACTTCATGGCTATCGTTTCTCGCCGTATGCCAGATCAGGGTCAGTTGGTGTGTTGGCAACTGTGTATGCGAGCATGTGTGTAGGATCGCGTATGCGTCTTCATGGATTGCGCGTGCGTGCATGCTCATGCATACATGGTGGGTAGCTGCACATGGGCAGACATTCGGGAGTTTTTCGGGAGGCGAACTCGGCGTAGCCAGAGTTTTTCGGGAGGCGTCAGACTTGACTGGACTGGACTGGTCGTGCCCACTGGCAGGCTTATCCATTCCCACCATTTTCTGTGTTGTCGAGTACCTGTTTTGATTTCGCCGCGCCTCGCCCCACCTCAACTCACCCCACCCTCGTCCTGTACAGTGGAAGCCCATGCAAAGAAACACCCTGCTTGCCTCCAGGGTGCCCTGGGTTTCTTGGGGTTCGATGGTTTTGCTATGGCAAGCGTGACTTCCCCACACCAGAAATCAATGGACGTCTTTGGGTCTCAGGGTTGGGTTTCTTGTGGAAGGTTCCTTGAGGTCGAGCTCCTACTGTACTCCCTCCTCTCCCTGCCTCCGCCCTCCGTCGATTCGGCGCACCACTCACACCTTTCGTGCCCCCAGACGGAGCTCCACCTACGGCCCCAGTGGGCGCGCGCGCGTATACAGCGGCCCCAAAGTTTCCAAAGTCATTGGTATCCTGGGGTATTGACCGATTTTCGCATTCTCGTATTTTCGGACTTCCGCAAGCGCAGAGCGGCCCCAGAGGTCTCCAAGAAGCTTGGAGACGGCATATGCAGCCCCAAATAATGCCCCAAGATGAGGCAAGAGGGCCCAAGACGGCTCACGAGGCCACCACAACGGCCCCAAGAGTGCTCCAGCACAGCCTACGAGGCTTCTCAGACGGCCCTAAAGCGCCCAAGATATCCCCAGGTTTGCACAGAGAGGCCTCGAAGGTGTCAGACGGGTCAGGGGAGCCCTAAGACGGCCCAAGAGGCGCCGAGAGGCCTACAAAATGCCCCCGAAAGGCCCAGGAGGGACACATTGCCCAACAGCTTGGTCAGACTTTGGCCCACCGTTAGGCCACATACGCGTTTCTTAAAGGCAGGGGGCGGCGTTGGTTCGCCGTGAAGTCTTCGATCCGCCCCCCTCAATGCCTGCCAGAGGGGTGCTCGGCGTGCCATATGTTCTGGCTCTTCGTGGCCCTTCCAACATGTTCCCAGTGGCTTCCGGCCCAACCCGTCTCCACCGTAACATCAACCTGATTTGTGTCCTCCAAGGTGGTACTCAAGTCGTCCCATGATGGTACAAGATGACCCTCAAGCTCGCTCCAGATGCCTCTCAGACAGGCCAATATGGCACCAAGACGGGCTAAGATGGTCCCAAGACGGTCCAAGAGGCTTCCCAGAGGTTCCCCAGGAGGGCCTTGAGAGACCCCCAAGACGGCCAACAGAGGGTTCCAAAGACGGCCTCTGTAGGCGCCAGACGGTCCAGGAGCGCCCTCAGACTATTGCAGCGAGCCGCAAGATGGCCGAGCAGAGCCCCAGGAGACCCCCAGATATCTCCAGGACGGCCCCTCCTCAGTGTTCCCCCAGTGGCTTCCGCATCCGTTGGTGAAGTACGCCGCCCTCAAGTGTATCAGCACTTTCGCTCTCGAAGTTTGACGACAGCGGCGCTTCCCAAATGCCGGAGGCGGCGGTGACTCGCCGAAGGCGTCGCCGGCAGCACATTGGAGGTCCCAGCAATGAAGCAATTACATGGATGATGCGACGGAATTCCTGCCTAATGCTCAGGTAGTTTAATGCTCCCTCGCCTCACTATTGCGTCTGTCTGCGGCCACCTGGAGGTCGGTCTGGAACCGACGGGGAGTCAGTTTCGAGACGTGTCGGGTTAACCTGCGGTCGTGTGAGGACCCTCGCGGGAGCCGCCTGGGCCGCCAGAGCGCCGCATCTGCGGCTTCAATTCTGGTCGGAGTTGGTTGCGCTCCAAGAATCTCCCCAGGTGTCTGGGATGGGAGGCCCAGCGGGGCAGATTCCTGCTGGGTCTCACCGGGGGCTGTTGAGAGCAAGGTGGAGGAGGAGGAGGAGAATGAGGAGGAGGGGGAGGAGGGGAGGAGGAGGAGGAGGAGGAGGAGGAGGAGGAGGAGGAGGAGGAGAAACGAGAACAGGGAGGAGGAGGAGGAGGAGGAGGAGGAGGAGGAGGAGGAGGAGGAGAAGGATGAGGATGATGAGGAGGGAGGAAAGGAGGAGGAGGAGGAGGAGGAGGAAGAGGAGGAAGCGGAGGCGGAAAAGACACCACTGATGCTGCAGCACATCCCGTCCCAGGTCCCCTCCTCGCGTGAGTCCCTGCAGGCCCTCCGTTGCACTGCGTAAGAGCCCCCCCCCAAGTGAGACGGGATCTGCGCGGGCCTGCCAATCAGGGTACCTCCCCGTCCTCCTCTTCCTCATCCTCCTCCTCCCTCTCCTCCTCGTCCTCCTTCTCCTCTTCCTCCTCCTCCCCATCCTCCTCCTCGCCCTCCTCCTCCTCCTCCTACTCCTCTTCCTCCTCCTCCTCCCTCTCCTCCTCCCCCTTCTTCTCCTCCGAGGGAGATCCGTTCTGTCAGGAAGCTGCCCCGCATCTTTCCAACGACGGCGAGCAGGGCGGAGTGCGAAACGGTACGGTCACGCAGCTCGACGAGGTGTCGGGGGTGGACAGAACCCCCAACAGTGACACGTCGATTAGTGAATTGTCCGTTTTCGGTTCTCGGGAGGGCGCCGTGGCCGTTATTTTCCAGGTTTGCCCCCGCCAGGTCTGGGCCTCAGGTCGTCTTCACTAGACCACGTCTTACTAAAGGGAGGTCTGTCCATCCCCGAAGGTGTCCGGCGAAATCCCGGCTTCGAGCAAAAATCGGGCCGGGCGAAAGGGGGGGTTTGGGAAAGGGGGTTTACGAAATTTGCTGCATGCAGTTGGTTTCGGCCTCACCGAGGGGCCCATTCCTCGATACATGGCCGCCTCCAGGCGCCGGGAGGCGCCGGGAAAATCAGCTACGTGAGCTGATTCTCAAACCCCCCCTTTGCTATCCCCCCCTTTCGCCTGGCCCGAAAAAAGGGCCGCCTCCAATCCGTGTGCGTGCTGCGCAAGTCTGCTCTTCTGGTCCTGAGCTTCCCCAGGAATTTCCGGCAACACCCCAACATACTTATACTATATGTGCGTCGCCCCCCCAGGGGCGACGCGCGCACCGAGAAATCTTATAGTATATGCGTCGTGGCGGGCGCTTTCTGGCCACACCGCTCGGGAAACGATATACTACAAGATGGGTATACTATATGTTCGGGTCGGACGCGCGCCTCCAAGGAGGACATATAGTACTAGTATGTCCATGAGCTTCCCCAGGAAGCCTCCATCGAGCGAGAGACGGAACCGTGCTCCCGCCGTGCAGCTGTTGCGTGCGAGTAAGTCGGGCCTGTCCCTCCACAGGGGGAATGTTCAAAACTAGTAGAAAGATAGTCCAGATTTCGTAATAAAAGGTAGGGGGTCTGGACCCTCCAAGACAAGCCATTTCAGACCCCCCCCCCGTGGGAGAACTCTCCCAAACATCGTCCCCAGACCCCCCCAGGCCCTCCAGGATAGCCTGGAAGAGACCCCCCCCCGAAATGAGACCCCCTCCCTTTTATTACGAAATCTGGGGTAGTCAGGGGACGATTTTTGAGTATTTCTTTGATCATTTTGGAGTATGTTTTATGTCTTTTGTATTCTTCGTCGAAAACCCTCCTGTAGGGGGACGCCCGTCTTAATCATACGATCAAGCGTCGGGCCTGACACATCTCAGGAAGTCCCAAGCGAGCACCCCATTTTGAGAAGGCACCGCCCTCCGTCCTTGTAGTAGCCGTTTCCAACATTGTCAGGCCAATGTGCGCGGCGCCGCGCCGAGAGCTTCATTTTGAGAGCACTCCATCTTTTGTAATTACTTCAAGCTCTTGAGACGAGTGTGCCCGGCGCTACGGACGGCGAGAGCTCCTTTCTTGGAAACGACCCCCTCCCCATCCGTGTAGCTGATGCAATTTTCAAGCTTCATGGTCATAGAAGGTGAGGAGGTCTCTGGCGAAACGCTGGGCCCGCCTTTCCGACGCGTCTTGCGGCAGGGAGGAGTTACCTGTAAGGAAAAGGGATGTTCGGAAATTGGAACATATACATGGCCAGTGGCGGGCCGTTTTCCAATCCTACGACTTTTCGTGGGTCGGGGACGACGTCGGGGTGGTCTGGTGTATACTTTTTCCTTGTTTTCGCGCGGAGGCAACGACAAATGTATACACCAGGATCCCGTATACACCAGGATCCGCGTTCCTGTGCGAACTTCAGCGCAGGGTCGGAAAAAGCGTCGGTGTATAGAACCGGCGCAGTCAATGAAAGAGGGTGTGGGAACTCTTCCGACACCGTGCCTGGAGCGACCTCTCGCGGCCAGGCCCGGGGAGCGAGCACCCGTGCAGAAAAGCAGCCAGCATCACAAGACATTTAAAACGAAGGGCCACCGATGCGCCCACGGCGCACGCGCTCCCTGCCTCTCCCGCAGAATGCACGAGGCGGAGGAAGAACATGCAGGAGGCGTATGATGATGATGAAGCTGATGATGATGACGATGGTGGTGGTGGTGGCGGTGGTGGTGATGATGATGCTGACGATGACGATGACGATGATGATGATGACGATGATGATGATGATGATGATGATGATGATGATGATGATGCTGATGATGATGATGATGATGATGATGATGATGATGATGATGATGGATGATGGTGATGATGATGAGGATGATGATGATGATGATGATGATGATGATGATGATGATGATGA